TTTGTTTTGCCTGTTTTTGAAGTTGTTTTATTTTTCAAAGAAAGCAAACGCCAATTTTATTTTTTGATATGTTGTTAAGCTATAAAAGCACTATATAAACAAATTTTAAAAATTAAAAAACGTTTGGTTCTTCATAGTTAAAAATGGCGCCAAACAAAAGAAGTTTTTCATTTTTTTGACATTTTGAGCTCCGATAGCTCAAAAAATTCAATACAGATTTTAACGAAATTTTGTGATTTATTTGTGACTATAAGGTACTTCTAAAATAACAAAAAATATTTATTTATTTTGCGATAGATTTTGAGCTACGCTGTTTTGAAATCGGTGAAATTTTCAAAAAATTCATTTTTTTCTAGATTTTTTGTTCAAAATATCCTTTGATTCGAGACAATAACATTTATTTTTTTTGTTATTACATTGTTTCACTGATATGCACAAAAAATTTCATCAAGATATGTTGGCTAGTTCAAGAGATATAGCGTTCTACGTAGGTACAAGTTTTGAAAAAAATCGCTCAAAAATTTGAGGATGCTGTCACAAAAATCTTCATAACTTGAAAAATAATTGAAATTTTTTTATAAAAATTTTATTTTGTCGATGAAATACATTGAGGTACTTACTGTTCAAATTTTAAAAAAATCGGAGATGGTCGGGCGTGGACTTTTTTTTAAATCGTTCAAGTTGACGGAGAATGACCCATAAGCAACTACATTTTTTAAACCATATCTTACAGATTTGTTTATTTTCAGCATTTATAGAGCGCTTTTTTAAAAATCTTTCAAAGCGCCAACAAAATTAATAACTTGACAAAAGGTTTTAGCGATCCTCTTCCGTTTCAGGTAGATGATGCTTGGCATCACCTGAATTGTTGCTGCTGCTGAATTTCTAATCAATGATGTGGACTAACTCCAGCCAAAAAATTTTGCTGACGACCAAATTAAAAAATTTCCGTCTACACAATGATGAAACATATTCGAATCCGACCACTGCACGCACTGCGAAACTGCATCAGGCGACCTTAACCACTAAGCCATCACGCCGCCAAAATATATATTTTTGTAATAATTATTATAAATATAATTATATATTTTTTTATTCAGTTATCATATAAAGATGATTTACGAAAAAACCACTAACTCTCCTTTATCATTTTGTTTTGGAGAGACATGAATGCCAAGTTTTTGCAAATTCGTCTTTATCGTTACGCTCTTCACATTTCTGTCATTTTTTAGAATATAATGCAAGATAAAGTATAATTGAATGATTGCACTTTTGACAATGAACATACTCTTCTTGAATAATTTGAAAATTCCTGCTGCCACTGATGCCAACACGACTGCCGGCAAATCTCAGCCCAACTGCTGCTGCATCGTCTGCATGTTGCACATCTGCACAGACATCATTCCTCATACTTCTCGGATCGGCTGCAACAAAGCCATCAGTACACAAAACTGAATTGCCAGCGTTCGAAGCAGTTCCTGTGGGTTGATGGTCAACTGCCAGCTGGTTCAAAGACTTCCGGCGTGACATACTTGGCTGGAAATAAATTGTAGATACACGATCAAATGTTAATCGAGCACAAGTTTCAATACAATTGGTTAAATTATAGGTTGATCTGTTTGTTATTCGAATAACGAGCAATAAAGTGAAATGATAAACATTTCAATTTAACTGTACAACAATATGTTCTTATGCCAAATTAATCAAAAATATATTTTCAATAAAAAAGAACCGACTTCATCATGACGTAATTGTTGTTCTACTTTTTTAATTTTTGAAATTTAGAGATGAAAACATGTATCACATTCTATCAACAAACCTTGTTACTTTTATTAAAGTTTTCAGAAGTTCGTCTATTCAAACAGGGATCGCTGTTATGTCTCACTTTCAATTTTGTATCTATTAGAAAATTAGAAAATGTCTCCATCAATTTTATCACTTGTTTTATCACATTGAATTGCCTATGTTGACTTTTCATCATCAGATTTGATTACAATTAAATGATAAACATTTAAAATAAAAGATGACGTTAAATTATTTTCTGACAAAATGTCAGATTTGTATTAAAATATTAATAGGCCAACCTTCCTTTAAGTCATCAATTGTTATGACAACTTCATTTTGTGGAACGTTGGAATCGGTGAATGAGACATCACCGTCAATAAGATTGAGGTTTTCAACAAAATTTTCATCAACGAGCATTTGAAAATTGCTCAAATTTCCTGGTCTGATTTCTTCCATTAACTTTTTACTTTTACCAACATTCAACTGATGTTCATTAGTGACGAGGTTATTGTTAATATCAGTGATGTCAATTTTTCTTTCTTTCATATAGCTCCTATCTCCATGATTTGACGTCTCAATCAACAAATTATTGTTGCTTGTACTAATTTTGTTCAGGTGGTCTGAGATATTTTTTACCTCAAAGGTAACGAAAACCTGTTATTAATAAACGTTCATGAGACATACTAACAGATTGTTGATTGAATAGAGTTGAAATTTGTGAATAAATAAATAAAATAACGTGTTCTTTATCATCAATGACATCAGCAATTCTGTCGTTTGGATCCAATATTCCTCCATCTTCAAGATACAACTTCATGTCTTTGTACTCTAAATCGTGGTTCTGAATTTCCACAAGATAATAAATTATTTTACAATACTGATCTGAACAAACACGTGAAGAGAAAGAGAACAAACACATGAAGAGAAAGAGAACAAACACATGAAGAGAAAGAGAACAAACACGTGAAGAGAAAGAGAACAAACACGTGAAGAGAAAGAGAACAAACACGTGAAGAGAAAGAGAACAAACACGTGAAGAGAAAGAGAACAAACACCTGAAGAGAAAGAGAACAAACACCTGAAGAGAAAGAGAACAAACACATGAAGAGAAAGACTTACGTTGTAGTTTGTTTTGTACCTCCTACACGCCTCAGCCATCAAATGTTCAATAGTGTCATTGCCATCACCACAAGGTACAACTATTTTGACCTTATCAAAACAAACCGTAACTTTCATTTTTGGTGTGATTGGTTTTTATTTCAGTTTTTGCCAGGTAGTTATATTTACGATGTTGTTTATTTTTATGTAAATACTTTGTTGTTTAATTTATAAACTGCGTGGTGATATGGTCATGTATCTTTCTCTACACTTCCTTTACGTTTTTTCAATAGATTCAGAATACAACAATAAGAATAAGCAGATTTATTGATGAGATAATCAATTTTAATTATATTTATATATTTACTTATTTATTCCATTTAATTATTTTTATACTACATAAAAAAACTGCAGCACCATTCTTCATATTTATTCAAGATAGATTTTAAGTAAATCAATTTTTTAATATATAACAGTTTTTTTATTCTACAAGTTGAGGTTAATAAAATCAAAATAGAAGATCTTCTGATTATTAATATTTAATTATTTGCAAATTACTTTAAATACTTTTTTATGAATTTTCGTTCATTAGCATTAATAATATTATATTATTTATTTACGGCTATCTCTACCTATCTGAAACAAAAATAAAAAGTAAAAAACGTAAACAAAAATTAAAAGCAAAATTTACAAACAGAAAAATTTCAAATATTTTACGGCAAGCGCTAACTTATACACAGTGCATACAACAGAGATTATAAGTATAAAGTATAACATAATAGTAGAGAGAGAGAGAGAGAGAGAGAGAGAGAGAGAGAGAGAGAGAGAGAGAGAGAGAGAGAGAGAGAGATTAGATACATATTCACTTTATATATATATTTATTTATAAACTGTATTTCTATAGTTATACTCTACCCTACTACGTTCTTCTTAAATCTCAACTTAATAAATTGTGTATACAATCACAGGCAGAAATAATAATAAGGTAAACAATAAAATCACCATACATATTTTGTGTATAAATATGCACAGTCACTCATTCACACAGATGCGCATACACACACACACATTCACACAAACACACATACGTAATCTTCTCAATGAACAACGTCTCTTTTAATTGTTTGGCATGTCAAAAATTTGCTTACAGACATTTGTTTACAAATACCTGTGCAGGTAAATAAGTGTTGTGCGTGCCATGTAGTGGACATTTTTTTAAAATTATTCTTATTGATTACACGTTTATACACATATATAGAATATTTTTCATCAGACTCCAAAAAGTGTTAAGAATTTGAAATATTTAAAATTTTTTATTTTGAAAATATTATTTAAGACCGTGTTTTGGGGAAAATAAAATAAAAATGTGTAGCGATATGCAACCATCTTTTAATACTGAAAATATTTGCTAAAACAATAAAACCTCAATCATTTTCAGTATAAGTCATTGAGTTATATAATTCCATGGTATAAGTACCTTCATTCATAAATAGAAAGTTATTTTAATAAAAAAAAAATTACATTGACTGATTTAAAATGTCATTTTAAGTATTTTTCATTTAGTAGTGATATTATAGTGGAATTAAGGCGCTAAAGTTGAATTTTTTTTCTTGAAATCTGGAGATGGAAATTGTTACCGAGAGTCGGAAAATTTTTAAGGGGCCGGAGTCGGATATTTTTCATCCTACTCCGACACCCTATAAAAAATACAGCGTAACCAATAACGTATTTGTTTCCAGGTCAGATCGAACGCTGCATTTCACCTGCATGTGATTCAATGCATGTCATGTGACTTATCAGAACCCCTATAAGTGCCTGCTACATTTAAAAAATTTTAAAAGTCAAATATGAGCAAAAAATAATACAAAACATCTAACGACAATCGACAACAAAGAGCACAAACACCAAAATCAAAGTCAATTAAAAACACTCTGTTCTTACATACAATGAACCAAAATACACAAACATATCAATCAATCAACCATCCAATCAATCAATATCTCTATTATAATTATTATATATAATAATAATACCTCATTTATTCAGCACCCTAAATATAGCGTCAAAGGCGTGTTTTGTTGTTTAATTTAAGCAATCATTATTCAGAATCAATTTTTGAAATTGTTGAATTGAATGCAAAAATGTATCAATTGAAATATACAGGTGCATCAATTAAATAAAGAATATGAGATCGTCTAAAATGCAGAACATGGATATTATATCATGTTGTTGACCGAATTATTGGCTGATAAATTGTAATATCAGAATTTTTTAAAAGATTATTTCATTCGATCGATCGAATGAATGAATGATTGATTGAATGATTGATTGAACGATTGATTGATTAATTGATTGACTGACTGACTGACTGACCGGCCGTCCGACCGACCGACCGACCGACTGATTGATATATTCTACAGGCATCACCGAGAGTTTTAAGGGGTAATTAACATGTTATGTATATGTTCCATTAAGGTACCGGTATACATTATTGATACACCGCCCTTGTCTTTTTTTTTATTATTCTTAAAAAAAAACAAAATTTGACAAAATATATAAAACTCATAAATATAGAATAAAATGTAATAGAACAGAATGTAACTCAAATGATTTTGACGGTCAGTTTAGGTCGAGTGCTTATCATTGAATTATATAATTCCATGGTGCTTATAGGTAATTCAACATCTTGTAATTTACAAAATTGTTAAATTATACTAATGAACATGCCCATCTGTATATATAATTTAAATAATTGTGATTAAGTAATAAAATATATAGATAGTATCATTTAATTAGAATAAATATAACGGCCTTCGCTCATTTTTGACGGTCGAACAAGGAGCTTACTTCCGGAGAGAAATTGGAGGGTGATTTTTTATCGCCCAAGTCAAAAGTTACGATCGTATATTTACTAATTTCGGAATGTTGCTTTTATTTAAAATTTCAAAATGTTTTAAAAGGTGATACTAGATGCTGTTTTAGGATAGATATTGTTGTATGACGGTTAAGTATCTTTTTGCATTTTAAATAAAAAAATTTTTTCGTGAACCACCAACAACACTTAGACTTAACTCATTAACTAACTGTAACAACACTAAACGACGACTAATTAGTAATTAAATTACTAAACTCTAATAATTAAGCTAAAACTAAACTCTACTGATTCTAATTACTAATTGAAATAAATAACAGATAACACTAACGAACATTAACAGATTAGACTAATACTAATAGAAACTACCAACCACTATATACTACATACTACTACTACACTAACGACTAACAGCACTTGTTCCTAAGATCCTAAATTCTATTGCTTGATTGGTTTTAAAATTTTTATTTACAATGCTTAGGTCTGGGAATAAAAAATATACTAAATTAAATAAATATATTAAACAACTTATCAATCAATTTTTAATTTGTTCAATTCGAGCTTCAAACTCCCCAAGCTAACTTGCAATTTAATTAAAATTTATTAATTATGAGTGATTCAAACTAAATTTTTTTTCATTTAATGTTTTACAAAATATTCCTCATTCTTAAATTGTAGTACATGTTGTTATTAAATTTATTAAAGATAATGTGTGATTCCAGTGATTCATCAATCCATGTCTTGTTAGATCATGATCAGTTTTAAAGAATCCCCATCATCATAACCAATGAGGTTTGTAAAAATTGTACTTTTAATTTATTATATTTTATGCACTTAGAATGTTGTGTTATTAATTATTATCATTAATTTATTAAATGCTGTGCATACCCATGGCAAGTAAATAAAATAATTAAGCATAGAAATAGCCACAATCAAATTAATTTATATAGGCATGATTATAATTTGGATAATAATAATTAAAAATATCGGTATCATTGAAAATGGATAAAGTCATAAATAAAAAAATAAATCATAAATTGCTAAAAATAATAGTTCCAGTAAGATTTTGCCTTACACCTACATCTTTTTTTCATTCTTATATTATAATAAATGTTTGTTATCAAATATATCAAGGATTGATTTCTCAATCCATGACTAGATTGAATGTCATGATCCTACAGTTCCAGAGGATCCCCATCACCATTAGTCAATAAGGTTTTTAGAAATCACCTCAGGCATACCATCAATGTTTTGTAGCCACCTTTTAATATAGTGTTAATAAAATGACATTGAGAATAGTTATTTAAAACAATCTTATTAAAATTATTGAACAAGTATGACAAGATCACTTTCTTAATGTCCTAGTGTGAGGAAGATGTAAGCCATTTGTCCAAAGATAATCATATGCCTTATGCCCATACAAATGCAATGTCAATGATTTTTGATCAGAGTCATATGTTCTAATTTTTTTAAACTTTTCCAGAAATTTTTCTGTTAATTTATTTGTTACATTAAATGCTTGATGTGTATTTCATATAAAAACTTGATTATGCCAATTTAGTTAACTTGTTAAGCATTAATATAAAATTGACTCTACTTTTAATGGTGATTGGTATGATGATGATGATCCCAGTCCTAAGCAGGGTTTATTATTCACAATATCATTATGCCCTTTCTAAGTTTTAATAAAATACATGGAATATTGTTGAATGCATTTTATATTTTTTGTATAGATAAGAATGTTGCAATGTACAATGATGATGTGAATTGCTTCCTTGTGTAACTGATGACATATAAATATAACTAACTTGAAAACATGGGAATGCTTTCTTCAGCATTACCTTCCTTTCTCCATCATAACCCTTATAATATTTATTACAGAAATGGTCATTGCATATTCTTGCATTTTTTGATGGAAGCCATTTGAAATCATTTATTTCCTGTCTGATGCACTTAATCCAATCGTTTTGCATTTTTACATTTTGAGGAAATCTGAATTTTTATAAACTGTTACAGAAACTTGTGCATTTCTTAAGTATTGCTTTTAATAATAAAATGGTAATCCATGATAGCATTATAAATTATAATAGTCTATAAAATAAAATATATGTAATTGTAAAACAAAATAGTTCTATTCAATGAGTATGGGGATATTGTTACATTTATTTTAGTGTGAAGTTAATTTGAAAATAAACCTGTGAAAAGATGCATCAGAAATTTTCTCATTTCTATTTATTATTAATGCAATTTTTAATGCAACAGGTAG